TAGGCAGATTAGTGGAATAAAAAGAATCTCGAGATGGCCGACCCGAGTATAAGTGAGAAATATGCAGGTGATAAAGAAGACATTTAAATCAGGGAGGGAAAGGATGAATGAATCGATAAATCATACTGCGACAAGTGGTTCAGCATTAATAAAAAGTAGAGTTATATTCCTAATCTCAGACCTTACAGGAAAATAAATTCTAGTGGACTAATATTATTAAAGTATAAGAAACATCACTGGTAAGTATTGAGATGAGGATGTTCTTTCCAAGGATGACATTAAGTTCAGTAATCGCAAAGTAAAAGAACGCTAGATGGGATTTTATGACTAATATGCATTTTCGTCTGGGAATTTCTTTCTTTCTTTCTTTCTTTTGCAGTTTTTGGCCAGGGCTGGGTTTGAACCCGCCACCTCAAGCATATGGGGCCGGTGCCCTACTCCTTTGAGCCACAGGTGTCTCCCTGTCTGGGAATTTAAAAGAGCCTATTATAAAAATCAGCAAAGAGATAAAAGTTAATTCAGGCTTGGCACTCATAGCTCAGTGGTTAAGGCATTGGCCACATGCACTGGCACTGGTGGGTTCAAACCCACCCTGAGCCTGCTAAAACAACAATAACACAATGACAACAATAACAAAAAACAGCCAGGTGTTGTGGTGGGCACCTGTAGTCCCAGCTACTGGGAGGCTGAGGCAAGACAATCGGTTAAGCCCAAGAGTTTGAGGTTGCTGTGAGCTGTGACACCACAGCACTCTACCGAGGGCCACATAGTGAGACTCTGTCTCAAAGAAAAAAGTTAATTCGGATACTAATGTCCATATAATTTTATTTACCCACAGGTTGGTAAACCCTGTAAATAAGGAGTTACACAGCGTAAGCTATAAAAAGGAAGAGAAAATACAGAAGCGTACACCCCACGTGAGTTCCAGCTGGGTGGTGAGTACAGAGTTGAAACGTGTTTTATTTTTCTTCTACCTTTGCGTGTACTTTTGCATTTCATTTTCATGACGATCATATATTCCTTCCTTGTACAATCAGCACAATCATACTGCTATCGAAATTGCTTATGGTTTCTATTTGTACTTCTTGAAAATTCTTACCTCGCCAATATTAGACACTAACTATGGCTAAGAATCTTATAAAAAGAAATCTCAGTTTAATTTGGCTAGGACTTCAAAGTAACGTGAGCTCTCCGAATCACAGGGGTGTGGCAGCTGACCATTTTAAATTTATACTTCAGTCTTCATTGCATTATGGAATTGGCTCATAGTCCGTATATAAGATAATGACATGTCGTTTGGTGGAGCGACTCCCCCGTACCCCTGAATATCACAGTGAGCGAGTACAGTAAACAAACAGGCAAGTGCCGAGACTACTGTCTTACATTCTATTTATTTCCTTTGGCCTGAGGCCAGTGACTATGTCTCCATAATTCATAGTATTGCATGAGAATGAGTGTCCAAGGCTAGTGAATAAGAGAATCATACAATTCTCTTTTATGTAAGAATTACATCTAAGATATACCATATGAGAACTATATAATCAATATGAAACCTAACTCCAATGCTTTTCCATTTACCTTTGCAATGAGAATTGTTTTTTTTCTTAGCAAGCATCTGCGATTTTGTAAATTAATGAAATAGATAATGATTATTGACACATTTCCTAATATTGAGAACTTCAAGGAACTTATAATAATCACTGTGGCCTGTCTCTACATGACCTAAATCTTTTGGAGTCTGTGAAAATACACTTAGAATGAGAGAGACAGCAATGGTGGTAATTGGCATCTCTCTAGACAAATTTTTCAAAGGAAATATATCTTTCAAAGAGAACAGTGTCCTGGAAAGAGCATGGTCTTTGGAAGCAGATAGCCCAGAGGTTCAACCCAGGGTCCCTCATGCTTATAGTCTCTGTGTTCTTAAGCAAGTTCCTTGACCTCATGAGTTTGTCTCCAAACCTGTACGATGGGAAGAGTAACATCTATCTCGTGGTCATTACCGAGGGTATGTTAGGCACATCTTAGGCACTCAAAAAAACGACAACTATTACTGAGGGTGGATGAGAGGATGACAAGCCTCTCGAGCTACGAGGAGAAAGCGGGCTGCCTCTGCAATGAGAGGCACAGAGGAGGAAGCAGAATCTCAGAGAACCTCCTTGCATCCAGGCGTGAGGCCACCTCGCTGCAAATGAATGAAGAGGACTCGCCCTCTTCAGGGTCAGGCCACAGTAGCTGAGCTAAAGTAGAATGGACTCCTTTCTTATGCCTGAAGTGATCATTTCCCTCAATGAGGCCCCCATTTCCTTCTATCAAAATGACTCAGATTATTCTAGGAAGGATAAACCCAGAAAAAGAGAGGCAGAGTCATGAAGGAAGTCTCACCTGGGCTACAGGGAGGCCTGAGGACTGATCACCTTAGCACTGACCCACCTCACCAGCATGCAGAAACTCAGTGCCTCCCAAAGCTGGAGTATCTCTGCAGACAGTACCAGACAAACACGGCCACCTTTGGAAACTCTGAGCTTTCTTTTCTTTTCTTCTTTCTTTCTTTCTTTTTTGAGACAAAGTCTCACTCTGTTGCTCAGGACCAGAGTGCCATGGCATCATCACAGCTCACTGCAACCTCCTTCCTGTGCTCCAGCAACCCTCTTGACTCAGCACCCCAGTACCTGGGACTACAGGTATGCACCACCACACCCAGTTAATTTTTCTTTTTTTTGTAGAGATAGGGTTTCACTTGTGCTTGACTGATCTCAGACTCCGGACCTCAAGCCATCTTCCCACCTCAGCCACCCAGAATGCTAGGATTACAGGTGCACGCCACCACACCCAGCTGATTTGGAGCTTTTCTTTCTTCATGTCCACGGCTGACAGTCCACCTCATTCTGTCCACACAAGCCTTCCCCAGAAAATAAAGACAAATACAGTGTATTGGCTTCCACTTATTAAGCTACAATCATCTCCAGTGCTCCCCAGCCCCCCTACCTGCTGCCCTACAATAATAAGATGACCTTGGTGAAAGTGATGGGTGTTCTCTTAGATAGCCAATCTCATTAACTAGTGAGAATTTTACCAATATAACCACAAAGAACTGATGCCCTTATTTCCAAATCTTTGAAGGAAGCTCCCTGCTCCCCCATGCAAAGCTAAATAATTTTTACTGTTGTTTCTATTGATTAAGTTAATGAATGGGTGGATGGATGGGTAGATGAATGGATAACTACAATATGAACAGAACGTAGGAACACTGCACTGGACATCAGCGGTAACTAAGATACGAGCCCTTAGTATCTTACTTGGCATCCAGAGTGATAAGGGGGACAAAAAACCTTGATCTTCTGCCATATGTTCTTTGCTTGACTTAGGCTTCGTGCCATGCAAAAGCAAAGAATTACATCAAGCTGGAAAAGACAAGACGCTGAAGCAGCTAAAGCAGCCTCTAACTCATTCAGTCTTCTTATTTTAAAGTTCACCTTTCACCACGAATTCACTGAGATTTTAGTACCTTTTGGTCTCTTACGAGTACTGTACGGAATTGAATGTGCTCTGAGCCACAGACCCAGCTCTGTCCAGGTTGACCTTGAACAATTCACTCTGTTCTATTAAGTATTTCTAAGCCCTCTCTGTGAAAGAAGAGGATACTAATTTTAGCCCTGGATCTTCCCTCAGGAATGTAGCAGGACAGAGCAACAGCATATGGGATACGGAGCGAGCTCTGACAAAGAGAGCTCCCTAGATGGATTTATACAACCAACAGAGAGAAATCAGCAACAGTCTCAGTACCACGCTGCTGGGCCTCCTTTGCAGCACATTTTTCTGCTTAAAGTTAATGGTAAGCTGACACACATGCTAAGCAGATAGAAGTCATGCTGCTATTTGAAATCAGTAACCAGCTTGCTGGTGAGTCTCATTTGAGGGATTCATTTAGCACAAATCTGTTTCCTAGCGAAGAACAGGAAATGCAACCAGAAAGGTCCACCTTGTTTAAAAACATCCAAGGAATCCATGCCTAGAATCAACCCAAAAGTCAGTGCCACCTTCCCACTCAGCCCTCTGAGCAATGCAGTTCTGGAGACAATGTCACAGCAACATAGGGTGAGCAGTGGAAGGTTTCCTTAAAAAAAAAAAAAACGCCCAGGAACAGTCAGAGGCGAGCAGCAACTCCTTGCTGGTCACTGAACAGGTCACATTATTCTCTGCACATGCAGAAAGCAGCATTCTGCAACCAGTGGGGACCTTGTGACAGTGACAGAGCTTTCTGCTGGGCTGTAATCAATTACAAGGCTTAAGCACATTATACGACCCCCCCACATCCTCCAGTAAACTATGAAGGCGCATTATGTGCTAAAGAAAAACATAAACAGCTCTCATGCATGTGAGCTCTCTTCCTCTCTTTTTAACGTGGCGCAATGGAGTCTCAACCCAATCAAATCATCTAAAAGCCATCTTTGACCAACTGCCTGTCCTCACCAAACACTTTCCTAATTGTTAAAGTGGAGAATCAAATAAATGAATAGTCTGAAATACATAGTGCTGTTCTGAGATCATACTGTTTCATTTCCCTTTTCTCCACATCAGGAAAGAAAATATTAATTTTTAATGAAAAAAAGATAACCCATTCAGCCACATGTACCTTTTGGAGCCTCTGAGCAAACACACCCAGCACCTGTGCGCGGGAGAGCAGCCCTGGAACGCGATCTCACCCGCCCTGTGGAGTAGTCTCAGCCAGTTTCTATATATAGCCAGCACATTTCACATGGACACACCCTCTACCCATCCACATGCACACTGCAGTCTCAGGCTGGCAGAAATAGGAATGCTGTAACAATGCCCTGAATTTGATAAATTCACAAGAAAAGCCAAGAGATGTTTCCCAGTTGAATGAAAAAGGCCGGTGGGGCTGGTGGCAGTGCCTTGGCGGCAGGGCAGGCTCTGCCCAGCTCGCCCGAGTGTGAGCTGCATGTCTAATCATGGAGAGGGTTCCCGGGATCAGCACTTACCTTGGAATGCTGAAGCAGGAGTATCTGCTCGTCAAGCTGTTGTCGCTTGCCTTCTATTTCAGTCTGCCGCTTTCTTTTTTCCTTGAAAATAAAGAGAGAGAGGCTGTAAGAGTGGGTGGGTGTTGGCTCCAGAAATGTTAAGCCCGGAAGCAGCAGCAGCAGCAGCAACAGCAGCAACACACATCTGTATAGAGACTTCCAGAGACACCGGCACACACGCAGCGTCACCTGCTCCGCCGTCCCTGGGTGTTGCTAGCAGCAGCATTCTCCTAACATGTCTGCTGTGGGCTCGAAGAGTGGGAGAAATTCTCCTCACTCAGCGAGGCTGCAAGAATTTAATCCAGAAGAACAGGCAGTTTCCACACACACACTGTAGTTTTAATTTGGAGACAAAGAATAAAAATGTCTCAATCCAAAATACAGAGCTTGTTACAAACTGCAAATAGGACAGATAAGATAGAATAACACAGTAGGAAATTCTAGCCTGAGAATTCTTTTATCAAAATCATATACACATGCTGGGCAGTGGCTCATGCCTCATCCTAGCACTCTGGGAGGCAGAGGTGAGAGGATCACTTGAGCTCAGGGGTTCGAGACCAGCCTGAGCAAGAGTGAGACCTCGACTCTACTGAAAATAGAAAAATTAGACCGGCGTTGTGACAGGCACCTGTAGTCCTAGCTACTAGGGAGGCTGAGGCAAGAGGATCACTTGAGCCCAGTAGCTTGAGGTTATTGTGATCTCTGAGGTTGCTATGGCACTGTAGCCCAGGCCACAGAGTAAGACTATCTCAAAAAACAAAAAAAAACCATATACACAAATAATCTGATGAGATTTCAAATTTTGTAGGACCAATCATCCAGTTGGACATACTAAAAAATATAAATGAGCGGGGTGATCTTTGTTTCAACTTGTCTTTTTGGGGGATGCATTTCATGTGGGTGGTGCTCACTGAGGTTATGGCAAATCTGAAGTCCAGATTCCATCTAAGTGGATCCAACTCTCAGCCCTATCACTTGCTACCAGTGAGACCTCTGGCAAGTTCTTTCACCTCGCTGGGGCTCAATCCTCTCCCACTAAAAGGGGAAATAATAATAGTACTCAAACCATAGAGGGTGTGGATTAAGTAAGATGATGCATGAAAAGGGCCTACAACAGTGCCTGACACACAGTTAGCACTCAATGTTCATTGCTATTATTCTTATTGCCACATGTTTATTTCTAGGTAATGCCTAGACACTGGCTTTCATGGGCTGTATTTCCTTTGCATTTACACCATAACCGTTCCATGAGAATGAACCCTTCATATTTTTCTTCTCCATACTTCTCCAAGGCAGACTTTAAATAGCATCATATGAATGTGATGCGTAAGAATAGAAAGGCCTGCTCTTCGGATAGCTTCCCCGGTCTCCAAAGTGTACAGAGCCAGTTTACTGAGACATTTACTGCACTGAATCATCTTCCTTTACTCACATATGCAGGGAGGAACTTGTTAGACAAGACGTAATGGCATTTTACGATACAACAGCCAAATCCTGGAGAAGACCATAATGTAAAGCTTGGCTTCTGTGCTCTGTGTTCAGGGAAGCTTTTGTTTTATGGAGCTGCTATGTTTCTGGCGATGTGACTGCACCACTGCTATTCAAATCAATGTGATAATAATTTATGTTATAACCAGAGGTTTCTGTGCAAAGCCCAGACTTTAAGGAGTATTAGCTCATAATCTTGAGCCACTAGATCAGAACAGCCAAGTCAGGGATATAGTCTCCCTGCCAAAATAAGGCCCATGAATATTTTAGGAATTTACCATTCACCAAAGAACTCTTAATCAGTGATGCATAATTGATGCTACTTAGTCTCAGAATATGTCCAAGAACATACAATATATGATGGTAGATGGGAAAAGACTATTCCACATTAGTACCCTTCACACACCATAGAACTTAATTGCTTACACTCCATCTCCATCTGGCTTACTGCAATGGTTCCCTTACTGGTCCCCCTGCCTCCAAGTCTTGGCTTTTCCAAGCCACCCTCCACACTACTGTCCAAGTGATATTGTAAAATGGAAATCTGGTCAATTATACACCTTGCCTAAAAGCCAGAATGTCTCCCCACTACCTAGTGCAAAGAGCAAGTTGCTCAGCGCGGCCAAGGAGGCTCCCATCTATCTCCCAGCTTCATCAAAGCCATGACCCTCTAGCCGTATGTTCCAAGTTCAATGACTACTTGCAGTCTCTCTATCTTCCAGGCCGGTTCATTCTTCTTAGGTTTGCTCTTCCTGTGTCCTCTGATAGTAATGGATGCCCCTTGCTGCTTCATTTGGCAAGAGAGTATTCATCTTTGACAGCACAGTTTAAATATTAATGAAGCTATAGTGAAAGCCTGTCCATTTTGATCTGTCCAGTCTTCTTTCCTTTGGGGAAACACATCTACCCTCACTGTAAATGGCTTTGTTGGAAGGATTGCTTAGTCATGTACACCCCAGCACATCCGAGATGCCAGGACTCCTGTGTGAGCCAGATTGGGCTAGTCATACAGCCCTGTCTCTTGGCAATAGCTATCAATCCACAGGATGGCTAAGCAAATGGAACAAAATCAATAAGAGACATTTCTAGAGGCACATGAATTACCTACCACTAGGGGTAAAGCTGAGATGATGCACTTCTGAAAGGCCATGTCCCCAAGTTGCATGAAGAAATGCATCTGTGTTGGAGAAAATGAAGTCTACCCACAGAGGAAAGCAGAATTGAAAGAGATAAGGGGATCCTAATCTACTGAGTCCCAAATCTAGTCATGCAAGAAGCCACAACCATCCCTGGGCTTCCTCACTTACACACACTAATAAATCTCCTTTTTGCTTTAGCTAATTTGTGTGAGCTTTCTATCCCTTACAACTTAAAGAGTATGATAAACACAGAAGCCTTTTCTGCTGCCTCCAAGTAGACCCATCCCTCCTTCCTTTCTCTCCCCTCTTCACAGGCTGTGGATTTTTCTACACTAGTACCTTGAGTATGTTAGCGCTAGCTCCACTTACTGTATACACGTGTTATCCCTCTAACAAAGTATGAGCTCCTCAAGGACCAGATTTTGGCTGATGCATCTCTAACGCCTAGAACACAGTGTGATGGGCACAGTAACAGATGCCTAGTGAGTATCCCTGAATGAACTAGGCGCTGTGTTCTCCTCTGATGGTATTTGTTTGTCCACATCCCTCGTTCAAATGCATCATGAATTTGCACCCAAGACTTCAATGGCAGCAAATATATTATGGAAAACTCATTAGCCATCCGTCCATAAAACCAGAAGTGTCTGAATCCTGAAGACAGTAACCCCGATGGAAGAGATCACTGCTGCTGTGCACATGAGAAAAGGGCTGTAAAAAGCAAATTCTGGGAAAGAACCATGGAAAGCTCATTCCGGAGGAAAAAGGCCGGGGGAAGTAGAAATTCCAGGGACAAGTATAATGAGCTGACAGTAGCAAACCATCCAGGGGGGATGTGCCTCAAGAGACATCTGGAATGAAGCGATCTCAATCCGTTAGGAAGATTTCCAAATTCTTCTACTATCTTTGAGGCCTAGCAAGCCACTTGCATTATCTTACTATGAATGATCTATTTTCTTGGCAAGTTATTTTCTGGAAGTATTGCAACAGTATGAATGCTGTAAACCTGTGGTCCCCAATCCCGGTCTGCGGTCTATTAGGGCATCACTGCCTGAGCTCTGCCTGCTGTCCCCTCTCTCCCCTCCCCCATCTGTCCCCTCCCCCTACTCGCAGCGTGTGGAAATACTGTCTTCCATGAAACCAGTTCCTGGTGCCAACAATGTTTCTATCTGTGGTCTGTTAAGAACCAGGCTGCAGAGCTGGAGGTGAGCCGCCGGTGAGGGAGCAAAGCTTAAGCTATATTTACAGCTGCTCCCCTTGCTAGCATCACTGCCTGAGCTCGCCTCCTGTTGCTGCCCCACCCAGCCAGGGAAAAATTACCTTCCATGAAACTGGTCTCTGGTGCCAAAAAGGCTGGGGACCGCTGCTGTAAACTGTTATGACTAGTATAGTAAGGGACACTCATAGAAAACGGAGCACATTTCTGTTCAAAGGTGGTTAATAAATATGATAGGAAGACAAGTTGTTTTTTTTTTTTTTTTTTGCAGTTTTGGCTGGGGCCAGGCTTAAACCCACCATCCCTGGTATATGGGGCTGGCGCCCTACTCCTTGAGCCACAGGCAGTTAGGGAAACCCATTTCCACCTTGTACCACTCAAGATGCGTGCCCCCTTCTCCCTTGCCACTGGGCTACCACCTGGGCATGCAAGCTGATGGGTGGGGAGAAGAGAGGTGCCCCAGCTGAGTTTGTGAAAAACAGGGGGGAGGCAAGAGGCTGAGCAGGCAGCATAGTCAGCAGCAGGGATATGGCTGGAGCCCCATTCTGACTTGGGGTGACCCTGAGCGCAACAGTGGGAAGCAACCAGAGACCTTTTCAAAGCACTATTGACATCAAGAGATCCCAGAATTCAAATCAGAGAGGAGCAAAGAAACCACATTAAACTTTAAATGCTGCAATCTTTATTTTATTCCTCCTATCGCTAGATAAAGAGAATCCTGCTCTGACTCCTTCCATGGATAGCTAAAGGGAATTTTGTGCCCCTCCCTCTCATCCACCCTTGTAATTGACTTTTTAACCTGCTGGTTCCTTGACTTTTGCAATGAAGAATCAGAGAAACAGGTAAAGCCCTCAAGATCTGCAAGGAACAGACTGTTTTAAATAGCTTGCACTTGGAAAGGGCATGGAGGGGACGCTGGGGGGCGGGGTGACTGGAGATGGAGAAAAGAGGAAAAGGGCTTGAGTGCATTTGAGAGTGTAGAATGAAGAGGCTAAGATTCAGTATCTTTCCTGATCAGAAAATCAGGAAAAGAGAATCTTAAGAAAGTTTACTGTGGTTTATGAGGTGAATCTCTTTTGATGTTCTCCAGAAGATTCCAGTAAAGACACTGAAATTGCTATTCTCACCTAGACTACATTACTTTGACTGTGACTTCATGCTTACATTGGATTGCCAGGGTGCCCAGGTTATACACAGGTTAC